TTAAATCGGGATCTGTAAATATTATATAAATGTTATATGAATTTAATATATTTATATATACATTGATAAGTTTATATATTTATATACAAATTTGAATAAATTTTATGTGTATTTTTATACAGTTGTATATAAATCAATATATCTTTATATACAAATTTATATAAATGTAATTATGTTTATACTCAAATTTATATGAATTTAATATGTATTTATATACAAATCCATTTAAATTGGGATCTGTAAATATTATATAAATGTTATATGAATATTAATATATTTATGTATACATTGATACATTTATATATTTATATACAAATTTGAATAAATTTTATGTGTGTTTTTATACAATTTTATATAAATCAACATATCTCTATATGCAAATTTATATAAATTTACGTATGTTTACACTCAAATTTCTATAAATTTTATGTATGTTTATATAAGAGATAAATGAATAACTTCTTTTCCTTGACCACGCATCAACATGCAACGCTGTGCAGAACCTCTGAATGTTGTAATATTATCTTAAATATAATATATAATATAAAAGATACATCCCTGTGTGATGTATTAATCCCTGGATATGCCAGTATTTAGACATTAAAGATATTCTGAATATTTAATCCTCGTGCCAGTTAAGATCCAGCTTTGGCATCTCCTCCATAATAAAGAAACACACTGGCAATTAGGAAAACCTTCAGTTTTTGGCCGAGCCCTCGGGTTTGAAGGTGCAGGTGCAGACAAATCCCCGAGGATGGAAAAATCCACGTGGGAAGAGCCAAGTGCCAAGGATTCCTCCCCCCTGGAAAACGGGGCCCTCTTACCTCCCCATAGCCACAAACCACCACCTGCTTCCCTCCGAACATCATGTCCGTCGTCCTCTTAAGGCTGAGGGAGGAGAGAAAACCACACTTAAAACCAGCCCTAAGAGCTAATCCCGGGATTAGCTGCTGCTCCTCCCCAACCCCACGGCTGGGTCCCGGACCCCTGAGAATTTGGGGGGCAGAGAAGGCCCCAAACCCACCTAAAAACTGACTTTTCCCCTTTTTCCCAGCGAAACACAACAAACAGGACACAGTTTGGGTTTGGAGCCCTTTTTCTGTTGCTCGTTATTTGCCGACCCTTTGTTTTGCCACTCCTGAAATGCCGAAAACCTTCGGCAAAAACATGTTTTTCTTCATTTTTGTGGCTCCAAATGCCACACAGAGCAGCACAGAGGCAGCAGGGAAGTGGTAACTCACTGCCAGGATCCCAGTGCTTCCCACAAATGAAGCTCCCCCTTCCACTCCCTTTCCTTCTGGTTTCTCCCTAAGAGTGTCCTACATTCCAGGCTATTTTTAGCACAGGAGTAAATAGGTTAGCAGTGCAGGGAAGGTGAAATTCCCTCACTTTTCCGAGACAATTTGGATAAAACCCACAGCAGATTTAATTGCACCTCTGCTCACACCTCCCTTGACCCAGTTTTAGACGCCTGGGCCAGACTTAACCCAAATCCCAACTCACCCCTCAAGGGGTTGCTGTAGAATCCCAGGATAGTTTGGGTGGGAAGGGACCTAAAAGCCCATCCAGTGCCACCCCCTGCCATGGGCAGGGACACCTCCCACTGTCCCAGGTTGCTCCAACCTGGCCTTGGACACTTCCAGGGATGCAGGGGCAGCCACAGCTTCTCTGGGCAACCCATTCCCATGTTTTACCACCCTCATTTCCCCCATTATTGCTTCCAGTGCCTTGGAAAACACGTTACAGCTTCCAGTGCCTTGGAAAACACTGCTCCAGGTTACAGCTTTATGGATTGTTCATGGAATATGTCCCAGCTGAACTGCAGGAACAAAACTTGTCCTGACCTCGCTTGGCTCCGACAGAATTGGGCGGTGGAAGAGGTGAGGACACAGACACCCAATTCCACCAAAATAAAGGGAATAAAGAGGTGGAGAGAGAAAAAAAAACCAAACCAAAACAAAACAAAAAAGATCCCTGAGGATAAAAAAATGGAAACTAGAAAGGCAAAGAAGGTGGTGAGGAAGCTGCTGCTCCACTCACACCCCCCACGGACACAGACGGCTTTTGTCCCAAAAAGGCCAGAGGGACGGGAAGGAGCCACATGTGAGGAATTCTGAAGCAGAGCACAGGTAATGAAGGGTCTTTGTTCTGCTCTCACACACCAGCTGGGCTCAAACGAGCCGAGTGGCAGCAGGGCAGAGCCGTGGGCACCACTCCCTGTGGGATGGGGGGTGTCCCGTACGTACCCGTCCAGGATGGACTCCCGGCAGCAGTACAGGTTGTCAAACTTCTGCTTCGTGACCGAGTCATTGACGTTCATGGCTGGGACACAGAGCTTGCCTGCCTTGGACAGCTGGTACAGCCTGCATGGACACGGGAAAACACGGCCTCAGGGGGAAAACATTCCCCTGGGAAAACACGGCCTCAGGGGGAAAACATTCCCCTGGGAAAACACGGCCTCAGGGGGAAAACATTCCCCTGCGCTCTGCTGGGGGGTTTGGGTGGGAAGGGATTTAAAGAGCATCTCATTCCACCCCTGCCATGGGCAGGGACACCTTCCACTAGCCCAGGTTGCTCCAACCTGGCCTTGGACACTTCCAGGGATCCAGGGGCAGCCACAGCTTCTCTGGGAAATTCATTCCAGGGCCTCCCCACCCTCCCAGACAGCAATTCCTTCCCAGTATCCCATCTATCCCTGCCCTCTGGCACTGGGAAGCCATTCCCTGTGTCCTGTCCCTCCAGGCCTTGTCCCCAGTCCCTCTCCAGCTCTCCTGGAGCCCCTTTAGGCCCTGCAAGGGGCTCTCAGCTCTCCCTGGAGCCTTCTCTTCTCCAGGGGAACCCCCCCAGCTCTCCAACATCAACCTGCCCTCCTAATTCCAAGCACGGACTCGACTCCCAGCAGCAGCAAAACCACTAAAAATGAATCCAAACACGTCACTGGGGCTTCAAAGAGCATCTGAAAATGTCCCTGCTCCAGCCCATGGGAAGAAGAACATGCTTGGAAATGTCTTTTGCCCATATTGGGAATGATTCCAGATACTAAAAATACCATCAGTCCTTTTCCTGACCCCACTGGCTGCAGACCTGAATCCACTTCCCTCTTTCAATATTTCATTTCCCCGTTTCAAGGGATGCCTGAACCTCTGGCCAAGCTCTCCGGCAGCTCCAAGAGCTGCAGCCAAACCCTTCTCCCTGCAAAAATAGGGCAAAAAGCAGAGGCTGCTGCTCTTCCCCCCAGTTCCCTGTTTTCCGGCGCCTGTGACAGGATTAACTCCCCTGGGAAGGCCACTTCTCCCACCACACCTCTGCTCCTGCCATGGACTGATGGGTTTCACTGAGTCATCTCTGAGGTCCTCCCTTTGTGGGACCCCACCCCGACTGGAGAATCAGTTCCTCTTCCCAAATCTCACTTCTTCCCAGAGATTTAGGTCAGGACTACACTTCTGGCTTTGCCCTCAGCCCACCCCTTCTTGTGCAACGCCCTCAGCCCTTCCTCCTCCATCCCCCAAACGAGCTGAGGAACCATTCCTCCCACTTCCCAGGGGGAAAACAAGGCCTGGTGCACCTTCCCACCCACCCAGTGCCCAGGAGGTGCTTCTGCTCCCACTCTGGAGTTCAGAGCAGCAGCTCCAAGCGGGAACCGAGGAGGGATTTCAAACAGCTCTCCTGGAAAGCCAAGCCCAGGCTGAAGGGAAAGCTCAGCCCACGTGTTGGGGGTTCACCCCTCAGGTGAGCTGGGGTGTCTCCTGGCACGGGGGCCTTTGGCACCAGCGCCCTGAGGTGTTTCTGTCCCAAATTCTCCTGCCAGCCCAGCCCATCCCGTTACCTGTGGACTCCTGTCACACTCTCCTCCACTATCCCCTTGATCTTCTTAAACATGTTGGGATATTTCTTGTAGATCCAGTGAGTGAGATCTCCCCCATCATCCAGGATCTGGAAAGGAAACAACCCCAGTCAGTGCTCTGAGGGTCCAGTGAGGCCTCCAGAACCCAGAGAGGTACCAGGGATAAACCATCCCATGTTCTGGCACCTCAAACCCCACAGTGTGAGCCAGGTGGGAACACTCTGGTTGAGCATTCCGAGCGGGAATGACGCTTCATCAATAATGTCCTGGAGAGGCAACAGGTCAGACAAACACAGCAAACCTTGGTAGCAATGAAGAGAACTGAGGAATTATGGAAAGTGGCTGTGCAGGCTCCTCTCTCCCTGTCTCCCAGAAGCACAGATGGAAAAACCTCTGAACTGGGCAGAGTCATCAGCTCTTCTGACGTGACTGGGAATGGAGGAGGAGGATGGAGAAAGAGCAGGATGCAAAAGGAGGAGGGTGAAGTGCCAGGGAACTGTGCTGACCAGACTGGCTGAGAGCTCATCACCCCAGGGCATGACTATCATCATCACCATCCTCCTCACAGTCACTGCCATCATCACCATCATCATCACCACCACCACCACTACCATCACCCTTTTTGCATGTTCCCCACTCCCACACCAAAGAATTCTGCCTGCATCACCTTCACCCTCCTCTTCCTCTGTGCATGTTCCCTACACTAACATCAGACCTTATCATCATCCTCCTCCTCATCCCCTTCTTTGCCTGTTCCCTACAGCTCCTGGTGTGGCCCAGGGGTGCCCTAAAATTCACGTGCCAACCCCGGGCAGAAGCACCTCCACTCGTTGGTCACTGGTGGAGCTCGGCTGGGCCCCTCCTGCTGAGGGTCTGCAGCTTTCCCAGGAAAAAAGAACGCTCCCACACGTGGCAGAAGCCCCATTTGGGCACAAAGGTGACATCCCTGAGCTTTGCCATAACATAATATGGTGGCTTCTCATCCATGGACAGAGAGTTCCTGGGAAATATTATGTATTTTCCTCTCAGAATGGCTGGATTTGCCACTGATGTGCAGCAGCTGCTCCTCCAGAATGTCTGGGAAGCACAGGCAGAATGTTTAGGAGCATCCATGCAGATCCAGCTCTTGAGTCTCCGGGGCATTCCCAGCTCCATGTTCCACCCACAGGGAAGCAGAGGCAGGTGAGGGTTAAGTGGGCTGGGCAGCTCTGCCGGGCCAGCCCAGGTAGGAATCCAGCAGCCTGGAACTGAGCAGCCTGGCTCCCAGGACATCTCCATTTCATTAATCCCCATTTAATAGGGCACATAATCCTCTTCTAAGAGAGAATTCTGGGAGCTGGAAGTTTCCTCTTTCCTGGGAGAGCAGGGGATGTAAAACCCCCAAGCTGAATCCACGGGGGAACCGGTTTTGAGGGAAGGTCACCTCTGTGTGGCAGCCCCGACCATCCAGCAGCACAGCCCCACATTCCTGCAGTTTTCCCAGCTTTATGCAGGTTGTTTGCCCTCATTCTCGTTCTTCCAGCCAGTTTTATTTTTTTTTTGGGGGGAAAAAAGCCTTTATTTGAGGTGCAGATGATTTCTCCAGCAGAAAAGCAGCTCTTCCAGGTGGGAACCTTGGTGGGTGTTTCTCTCTCCAAGCAGGACAAATTCCCATTGCTGTCCCTTCACCCTCCCTCAGCCCTTCCATCTCCTGTTTTCTCCAACAGAAAAATCTCTGGCTCTTCCAGGAAAGAAACTGGTGTCTCCAGGTGCCATTTCACCACCTCTTAAACCCACCCAAGGCCCCGTTACCACCTCGCCTCCCCCTGTTCCCTTCCCAGCTTCCCAAACCACAGCACGTGGCTGATCCTGCCCAAACCAAGTGGATTAAAACTGCCCAGGATTAGCTCAGTAACGTGCCTGAAAACAATTTGCCGCAGAAAATGAGCGAGGAAAACACAAGGAGATGGCAGGAGGGAGTGGAGGGAGATGGCACCGAAATCCCCCCGGAGGCAGCGCGGTCCTGGATCAGGGAACCAACATCCCAGTGCTGCAGATTCCGTATTTTTCAGGAAAAAAAAACTCCTCTCTGAGCCATTCCTGTCCAGACAGAGCCCCACTCTGAAGGTCAGTATTCCCAGAGCCCTCCTCTGAAGGTCTGGATTCCCAGAGCCCTCCTCTGAAGGTCTGGATTCCCAAAGCCCCACTGTGAAAGCCTGTGATTCCCAGAGCACTCCTCCTGAAGGTCAGCACTCTCAAAACCCTGATTCCCTGAAGTTCAGGAATCCCAGAGCCATTCCATGAAGGTCTTTGGTTCCCAGAGCCATCCTCTGAAGGTATGGATTTCCAAAACCCTCCTCTGAAGGTCAGAATTTCTGGGTGGTGAGGTCCTGGCACAAGTTGCCCAGAGAAGCTGTGGCTGCCCCTGGATCCCTGGAAGTGTCCAAGGCCAGGTTGGAGCAACCTGGGCCAGTGGAAGGTGTCCCTGCCCATGGCAGGGGTGGCACTGGATGGTCTTGAAGGTCCCTTCCCACCCAAACCATCCTGTTTCCATGGTTCCACACCTCTCACACCTGTTCTTCACCCTGTTTCCAGTGTCCCATTCCTTATCTCTAAAACCACGGATCTCCAAAGTCCAGCGTGCAAATCTCTGGGAATAGATCCGAGGCACTTGGTGCTCCCCTCAGTTATCCCTGTGCTCCAGAAGCAGCTCTGGAAACAGTTCTGATGGCTGGAGACACGTGAAGGGCTCTGAGCAGATCCTGGGAAAGCAAAACGTGCGTTTTCTGGAACGCTGAGTTGTTCAAACAGCGACGTTTTGGATGGGAAGTGATTCCTCAAAGACAGTCTAGACTCCAGCTCGGAGCTCGGGGGTGGATTTTTTTGACATTCCCTGTTCTTCTCAAAGGTGACAGCGAGGGAATGAACAGCTTTGGCTGGAAGGGACAAAAATCCCACCTCAAAGGAGCCGACACTGGCAAAAAACCAACCCGGAGCCGCATTTATCTGCCACCTTCCACTGCTTCCCACCTAATTTAGATCACAAGCTCCAGGGCTCCAAAGCTTTGGGGAAACATGATGAAAACAGCACATTTGACAGCTGAAAATTATTCCACTCACGTAGTCCCAGGTTCTCTGTTTTCCCTGGAAACAAGGGCAGGATAAAGCAGCGGAGCAGAGTTGGGTTACCTGAGGTTTTTGTGCTCCCACAGTAAGAGCAGGTTCAAAGTGTGGAAATCACCTGAAAATCTGAGTTTTGTTCTGGAACAGAGGCTTTGCTTAAGTAAGAAAAATCCCATCAACCAAAGGTGAGAATTTAATGGCGAAAAGGATGAAACCTCGTCTCAAAAAATACTGATTTTGAGCCATTTTCGGTGGGTGCATTAAATGAGTTCGGTTTAAACCGCAGCAAGACACTCTGGAATCAAACTAAGCACCCAGAAAACTTTGCACTAAGGCAGCTGTGCTAATTTAGAAAGGAGTTCAACAAAACCTTGCTTGGTGGGCAAGACCCAGAAGCCATTTAACCCACCTTCTCCCCAACCCCACAGCTGGGAGAGCAGGAGAAGTTCATTTCCCACAGGACACAGCTCATTGTGAAGCACTTGGAAGGTAAGGGAGGTGCTGGCACTGAGTTTTGAGTGCTAAGTCAGGTCTAAATTAACAAGTAAAACACCAGGCAGCACCAAACCTGCCTCCTTCTTCTCTTCCTCCTGCTGGCCCTGCACAGGCCCATCCCCAGAGTCACCCCCTGTGCCCCAAAGGATCATCCAAACCCTCCCTGAGCTCTGGCAGCCTTGGGGCTGTGCCCACTGCCCTGGGGAGCCTGGGCAGTGCCCAACCAGCCTCTGGGGGAAGAACCTTTCCCTGAGATCCAGCCTGAGCCTGCCCAGACACAGCTCCAGCCCTTCCCTGGGTGCTGTCCCTGGTCCCCCCAGAGCAGAGCTCAGTCCCTGCCCCTCCCCTTCCTACAGAAAATAATCCAAATGGCTCCAAACCTGCTTCCCATGGCACCCAAACTGTTCTAAGCTAACCCCTACAGATACACATATTTATAAACACTCCAATCCCAGGGGGATCCAGGACTGGGATACCCTCGTTCCCAAGGCCATGAGGGGTGTCCCCAGAAGCTCTGGAAGGGTCTGGGATAGGAGCACCCCCATCCCTGGGAGGTTTGAGACTGGGATACCCCCATTCCCAAGGTCCTGAGGGATGGGGACCAGGGGGATCCAGGACTGGGGTACCCCCATTCCCAAATCCCAGAGGGGTTGGGACACCCCCATCCCCAAAGCCCTGAGGGGTCTGGGACAGGGGCACCCCCATCCTTGGGGGGTTTGAGACTGGGATACCCTCATTCCCAAAGTCCCTGGGGGTCTGGGACCAGGAACCTCCATCCCTGGGGAGTCTGGGACAGGGACACCCCCATCCCCAAGGTCCCTGGGAGTCCAGGACCAGGAACTTCCATCCCTGAGGAGTCTGGGACGGGGACATCCCCATCCCTGGGGGGTTTGAGACTGGGATACCCTCATTCCCAAAGTCCCTGGGGGTCTGGGACCAGGAACCTCCATCCCTGGGGAGTCTGGGACAGGGACATCCCCATCCCCAAGGTCCCTGGGAGTCCAGGAGCAGGAACCTCCATCCCTGGAGAGTCTGAGACAGGGACACCCCCATCCCTGGGGGGTTTGAGACTGGGATATCCC